GGTAAATTTGTGCAGGCGCACTTGCAGAAATTGAAGGAGCTTAACTAAAAAATTAGGAAGGAGATAAGGTCAATATTAAATATTCTAAAATTTCTGGTTAGCTAATTAATTCTTATATATGTATGTTCATTTTTTTTAAAAAATAAAAAAAATTATTTGAACTCAACAGGGGAGAGCTTGAATGATCTAGGCTACGAACAAATAGTTATCTTATTGAAGACATTGATAGCTCTCCCAGGCTCATACGAGAAAAAAATATATTTTTTTTTTTGCTCATCTCCAATTTCTTCTATTTAATTTACTTGGCCAAGGTTAAATTTAACATCTAGGGTTTCAACCTTTTCAATATATATTTGGTTAAATGAGACATAATTTCTAGCAAGTTAGAAAATATTTGCCGAAAAATTAAAAAAATATAAGAAAATAGTAACCATTTTTCAATCTATTTCTGTTAATGTATTTTATCCGTCATAGTTTCGTGACAAAAATGCATATATGTTGAAAAACACAATTTTTTATGTGTGACGGCCTAATTATTAGTCAGGTCGACCCATCATTTTCTTTTATTCGGGTAGCCCTAAGAAAATAGCATGTTGTTTTTATCCATCATTTTCTTTTTATTGTTGATTTTAGCTTGTGGAAGAGCTAAAGCCGTTGGTTTTATTTTCTTGAATTTTTCTTAAATTGTATTTCAGGTTCATAATTCCAGGACTCGGGGATGGTGACCGCTTTGGCACGTAAAAGTTTTTCGAAAGCGCGGCTCGGCCAATCTTTTGTGTACAAATTAAAAACTCAGTTTGGTTCTGTAGTGGTATGAGCAAATGTTGGAGTACTATTTTTGGCTGGTTGTATGACATTTTTTTTTTCTAATTAATTTGCTTTTGTTGACTTAATTAAATGTTCATGGTCTGAATTACTATTATTTTTTAGGGGGGTTGAATTTAAAAGTTGGATTAAACTGATTACAATTTTTAGATTTGAAGTTGAATTCTGCTAATGTAACCCTAGCATTTTTTAAATTCTAATTTTGAGTATGAAGCAAATTGGTAGACTTTATTTGACAACACTATAAGAACGGTTGATGCTCCGTACATTTGCATGTCAGTTGGACTAGACATAATGGGTTATGGTTTAGTAATGTTTCAACTTAGTGTCAACAATTAACCTTCTCTTCTGCTAACAAATCAAGTACTTTAAGACTAAACAATATGTTTGAGGGAATGACTATAGTCCCGTTGACGGAATGATTCCATTAATATTTTT